GGTTCGATCCATCGCAGGGCTTCCCCCCTAAGGTAGGATGCAGTCCACAGGGCATAGCTCTCCTGGGTGGGAAACTTCTCGTCGTTGAAGTGCTGGTACAGTTCGACCTGTAGCAAAAACACCTCAAGTTCCTTTCGGTTGCCGGAGTAAGTGTCGGGCAACTTGACGCGTAGAGTTTCCTTGAGTTCATTGACGGTGGGTGCATCGGGCATCTCTTCGTTCTCAGGCTTAGACCTCTGAGACGAAGTTGGCGTGGTGGGGGTTTTCCCCTTCGAACTGACGACAGACATGTTGCTTTGTGTGTAAGCCGGTACCTCGTAGAAGTGGTGCTCAAAGTGTAACGCTGACTTCTAAACGATAGAAGACACAGAGGTTCTCTTGCGTAAAGGTTTACTTATCAGAGGAGGCAGGGGATCAGACACAAAGGCTTCAAGTAACACGTTACTAGTATATAACAAATACTGTATTGAGTTGAGCACGAAGCTCCTATCTAAGGAAATACTATCTACTTATATAGTGGCGTCGTGCCTAGTGGACTCTTGGGAACTCACTCGAGTCCTCGGAGTCCTGGACTCTTAGGACTCTTCTCATCATCCTGCGAGTCCATCACGTGCCTAGTGGACTCCTGGGAACTCACTCGAGTCCTCGGAGTCCTGGACTCTTAGGACTCTTCTCATCATCCTGCGAGTCCGTCACGTGATACTTTCGGAACTACTATTCCCCGCTGCCCCTCCAGGTACCAGGGCCGGTCTCATGCGACCTCCCTCCTTCCTGTCCTGTAGTTGGCCAGCCTTCTTGTTCCGTCGTAACACAACATTCTGATTAGCCACATCATCGTTGTCATCATCATGCGTCCATTCAGCACTTCAGCAAGGGCTCTCTTCAAAAAACTCAGCTTTCCGGTCGAAAGCATCCCTGCACCCCACAGATCTGCCTATGAAAAGTTTTTTGCTCCTGGTGGGGGCGCCAAACAGGTATGAGTTTCTATCTCTATATCAATAAATGGTCTTCTGACACGACCTTCCAGAAATTCGGGAGGATCAAATCTGCACTAGTGCGGTCTCGTGGTGGAAACCCAGTCCATCAGTCTTCATAAAATAAGGTGGACAAAGCTTGGATTATCAGCGTTTTCGTTGAAGGGGAGAAAGACAAGGCGGCCTGTCACATTTACGAGGACGGAACGGGAACTAGTAGGAAGGGCGATCATCGGGAATAATTAGCTGCCTTCTGTGCGTTTTGCCAGTATTAGATTACAGTTTTCACCGTAGCATATATCTCCCAATACGCAGAGAATTGGGCATCCCGTCCGCTCTGCCATACATGACCTTGCGATCGGTGGATTAGTAGTCATTTTTTATTTATTTTGTCCTTTCGTGCCTACACCTCATTTCACTGTACGAATAAAAACTGTAAGAGATATATAAATCGTCGTCGGAGTCAGGTTCTATAGGTAATTGTGGTAAATCAGCCTCAGCTTCCCTTTTCTCTTCTTCAAGATAGTATTGGCGGTCTCTATATTCAATAAAGACATTGTGGAACTGCTGCTTAACCCTATTCTGTTTGACTTCTCCAGTACTGCTTGGCCAAAGACTGTTAAATACGTTAAGATTCATACGTGGATCGCAAATTGTAGCTACCCCTGAATGACTCCATTGTTGATTCGTAGCAAGCGTATAGTACTCATTAAGCTTCTTATGAGCAGCGATACAAGCTAAAATCATTGATGATATACCAACTTCCTTCTGTAAAGCCTCAAGATTCTTTATCATCTTTAGATACTGAGAAATTGCGAAGTTGAGTGTTGGATATAAGCTTGCTTGTTGCTTTTGCGAAGGCTTAACAAATATAAAGAAGAAATTCTGAAGAGCGTGGAGCGTTATCCAATCCTCTGGTGTAAGAGCGATATCTCTCATACTTAGATCCATTTTCTGAGTAGCACAGATCGCTGTAATTGGCGTCTGTAGCTTAATGACCATTGAAACCGTTGAGTTCCACAGGGCTGGCATATCAAGTGATAGTTGTACCTTCTTAAGACCAGCTGCAATAGTCTGCTTTTGAAGAGCATCTTTTCATTGCCTTCGATTTCTGAATACATAGATATGTCTTTGTAGCTTACCAAGAGTATTCTTAACTTCAATATTAGTTTCAGAGCTTACTGGAATCCACGCAACTCCTTGCTCACACCATCACTTTCAGCTTGCTCAGCAGGGTCTGCCTTTAAAGTCTTGAGAGCATCTTGAACAGCGATATTAATAATATGGGCTGTACATCGTACGTCTCCTTCCTTGACTCTAAATGTCCACGGCTGTTGTGTTGTAATTTCCTGGTCTCTGGCTATTTGCTCATATTCCGCAAGCATAACAGTATTAGATGAGGCATTATCCCTTGTACAGGTAAAGACAGCTCCTGTAATACCCATATCTCCTGTTACAATTGCTAATTGTTGAGCTAGATATTTGCCACTATAGATAGGCTCTTGAAGATGTACAACGTCAAGTACTTTAGATTTCTGTTGCCATTTATCGTTGATCCAGTGTGCAGTAATGGCAGCGTAGTCTGTATAATTCCATGCAGACAATGCATCTGTCGTTATTGATATCTGGCCTCCTCTCTTAATATGAGAATGGAGCTCAAGTTGTAGCTGGCCTCAGTGATATGAGAACTGACGCTGTAGTTCTCCGTGTAGCGTATGAGCTGATATTGCCATAGTTGTTGGGCTTAAGAATTAAACTAATTCACATAATGAATAGCTTTCAACAAGGCGTATTGATAGGTTATTTGACACAATGAACTGTAGTAATAACTCCTTATACTTTGAAGGATTACCAGGTTGCTTTAGTAGAGCTGATGGGCGTGGGTTGAAGAACGATGATGTACTGCTTGATGCACTTGTCTCTTCTCATTTTTAAGGGCGTATGGTACTGTTGGATGCTTTAAGGAATAATGCCTCCATAGATTACCTGTCGACAATTGCTTTAGTCCTTGTGGCGGTAGTTATCCACAGCCTGGTTGTAGGCATATCATTTTTATGGTCGTCGGAGGCCGAGTATCAAGTAATTCCTGATGATATAAGCCCTTTGTGAAGAGCTTCGACGATGTTGGTGGTAGTACTACCCTTGGATGTTGAGGTAGATTAATCGATACGTCAACTGCTTCAACTGAAGGCTGAATAGGGGTAGGTTGAGGTGGAAGATGTGGTAACTATAGCTCTTCTATTTGAGAATAGCTCTCATGATCTGACGGCAAATCTGATAATTCTGAGTCGCTCATTTTTACTGTAATTGTCACATTACGATAGTATTTGAACCAGTATTACAGAATCAATTCTATGTCTATTATGTGGCCTTGGCTACTCTTGGCTATTCTTGGCATTATCCGTAAGATCCAGTGTTGCCCGAGTAGTACTTGCCATGAGTAGTACTTGGTGAGTCCCCGAGTACTACTGTACTCGGGTGATATTTTTGAGTACTCGGGGACTTGCCAAGTACTACTCTGAATACTCTGAATACTGCCAAGCCCTTGGCAATGAGGGGTAACTGGGCGTAGAATAGAATAGGTAATTGAAGCTTTCTTCCACTTGAACGTTCCATATTACTTCCTGACTGTGAAAATGAGTGGCTCTTCTCTGTCGCCAGTGCCAGCTGAGTATCAGTCTGATGCTTTAGAGCTGCCGCCCCTTATTCCGATGCTGCATATGCCTCTAAGAGTTCAATTACCTGATTCTACATCAATCCTCTTTTCGAAAGGGCCATTCTACTGTACTTTATTAGATACAATACCTGCTAGAATCCAATACCAATGCCAGCTACTAAAGAGCCAGACGACGAGTAATCTTTGGAAGCATCTTAAGAAGATGCACCCATCTGTGCATGCAGAATACAAGAAGCTATTCTCCTCAATTAGAAGCTCGTTAACACCGTCTGCTTCTGCTTCTGCTTCTGCTTTTTTCCAGCCCCGCCAAGCACCCAGTAATGCACCAAGCTCGTCGAAATATAGAGAGCTTGTACTCTCTTTTGTGGTATCAAATAACCTACCGCTATGCCTTGTGGAAAGCCACTCATTCCTGCAATTAGTTCATCATCTAAACCCTATGGTTTTGACAGTTAGTAGAACTACGATCGGACGGGATCTATATCGTCTATTCTGCTATCATAAAGCATGGCTTTAAGTAGAATTACAACAACATATTATAAGCGGTGGACGACTTGCAATAACAACAGATACTTGGTCCACTCGAAACTATTCTGAGTATGCAGCAGTTACAGTACACTGGATAAATAATAATTGGCAAATGAGAAATACTATACTTGACGTTATACACCTTCAGGAGCCAATCCACTCTGGTGAAAACCTTGCCAAACAGATGATACATGTAACAGACGATTATAGTATTACACCTGCGATCTTGACAGTTACAAGAGATAATGCATCTACGAATACAACTATGCTATTAGAATATGAGAAACTGGCATCGGCGCAACCTATTACCCTGAAACAACCATGGGATTTTACACCGAAAGCAGGAGACGTACGCTGTATTGGGCATATTATCAACATTGCTGTTCAAGCTACTTTAGCTTCCTTAAAGGCAACGCCTGACGAAAGGGTAGAGGCATACCGGCTTGAGGTTGGGGCTGCGTGAATACCAACTACTATTGAAAATGAAATCGTGACTGTTCTTGCCAAGCTCTGGCATCATATATATGTATTTTGGAACTGCCGTGGATGGAAAGATGCCTTGAAGAATTAGTGTAAAGCTGCAGGTATTAAAGTCTGTCAGTTGACACTTGATATGCCAGTCCGCTGGAGCTCCTCATAGTCTGGTGTTTGATTCCGGGTCTCTTGTATTTTATCAATTACTAGTGGAGGATTATATGGATATAGTCCTGCATTTCTCCAACCTGATTGAATTGTCCGGACAGTTAAGGATTGCCGTCGGATTTGTGGGAGGTCGGAAAGGAACGTACGTAGCTTATACTCATAGTCATAGCTACGTACTGCTTGGTCAAGTGCCTTTTGATGGAAGTGTTTGCACTGCTTAAAAACTGCTACATCAAGAGGTTGTAGTAGATGCGTAGTATGAGCAGGAAGGCAGCAAATAACAATGTTATGCTCTTCTGCTAATGTGAGAAAGCACTCCGTTTATGAGAGTCATGGCCGTCGAGTAATAGGAGGCGGGTGTCGTCTGGTGCCATATGCTCTGCAGATAGTTGAATAAAATGCATGAGGTATTGAATTGCAATGTCGTCGTTTGAATACCCACTCTCATTAACGATAACAAGAGCATTTGGCTCAAGGTTATCATTATACCATGAGTCCATATGAAGTTTCCCCGGAATGATAATGGCTTCTGCAATTGCTGTACCACTTGCATTTACTCCCTCAATCACAGTAACAGAGAGCCGATTCTCAGGATTATCAACAGTCCATTGCTTTACGCCAATCGGCACAATAACAGCTGTAGATTTATAACATCCAATCATGTAGCCAGTCTCGTCAACATTCCATAAGTTATATGGCTTAATGTTGTGTTTTGTAATAAGTGCGTTATATGTAAGGAAAAATTCCTCAAACACCTCTTTCTTTTGTGCCTGCTTTCTATGCGTATTTAAAGTCTTCGTATGAATCGAGTGGAATTCAGGGTGTGCCTTAAGGAAGCGTTGTAACCACCGTTGCGATGGGATCGTACGATCGGGTCGCAAGTCTGCAACAGCCCGTAAAACCATTGATCGGTTTGCAGGGACCCCACGCTTAAGTTGGTCATATATAAATTGACAAACTGCAGTATCTTGTTCTTGAGATAAAACTCGGTTTTGACCCCCGCGGGGAAAGAGAGGGGTAGTAATGTGTCGTCGGAGTGTCTCACGGTTGACATTAAACTTGCGGGCAACCCAAGTAATTGTATAAGTATCTGGTTGTTTCAAGTAGAATTGCCGGGCCTCAATAAGACGGTCAGCTCGACTTGGATCGCTATTCAAAGGCATCGTAGAGGGTTGTTGTTTCGACAAATATTATTATTTCATCTATGTGTCAAAGTGGCGGTGTACATGCACATATCGCTGTCGCGTGCACAGATCGCTGTCGCCACCTACGAGCGAAGCGAGTGGGTGGAACACCGAGTAGTAGCGGTAGAAATGGGTGGAAACGCGCGAAATACCTACAACATTAGAAAATCAACGTATACAAACGCCAACGCTGAAAAAACTTACAGTCGGAACAACGAATCAATCTGGCCCGGACTAACCTCCACTCCCTCAATAACCCGAGCCGTACCCTCTGGGCGTTCCACAGTTCTCAGTCCCCAGTCCCTTAACTCTCCCAACCCCTCACTCCCACACCACCACCCTCCTCCCCACAGTCCTTGGCGTCACCGGCACCCCCTCCTCAACCCCAACACTCCCCCGCGTCGGGGCAGTAGACCCCCTAGGCGACCGTAATTCAGCATCTCCGCCATGCTCTGCAGCTTCTAGTAACCGCTCTACCTGTCCCTCGAGTGCTTCAACCTTGCACACCCCATCCCATAGTAAACAATCCTCCCAAGTGTTAAGACTATTCACCTCCGTTTATTCGACCTCCGAAAACTCTTATCAGTCCGATACACCACCCCCAACCCCTCGCAGCGCGCACATCGATCTGCCGGGCCAACACAGCGGACTTTGGATTCGCGACATAGTGTACACGCTATACGCTTCCGCTTCGTCGCTGTGCCCAGGGAGTCAACGGCGGGTCAGGCTGCGGTAGGGGTTGGTGTGGAAGCTTGGCGGGTGGTAGAATTTGTATCTGCATCCCTCGCTAGGGGGGTACGGAGAGGAATTTAGGATGAGGTCGGTGGTGGTTATGGATGGTGTTGGGGAATGTGAGAGCGGACCGATGGGCGCCGACAAATGCCGTGTTCGCTCCGATGTGGTGGGTGATGACTAAACGAGTTGGGCTTTGCGCTGGGGAACGGATATACGGCAACTACAGATGGCTGGGATGAAGGTGGTCAAACGTGGAGGTGGGAGCGATGAGACAGGTTCCAATGGCTTAAATTGAATTACCAGGACCTATTTTTTGGACTTGGGGCAAAGGTACGAGCAGAGAGATTATCAGATTACATCACACTCACGACACAGCTTATTCACAGCCAAAAGAACAAAATAAACAGTTATATCTCTTAGTAAGAGTCGCACATAGATTTGCTTTCCAACTATCTGTTAGTTATATATTATCATACAGCCCAAGTCCCAACCCTCACCCAGTGAGCCTGTAGGACGGGCGAAAAGCTAAATCCAAAAAAAGAAAAATCCCATCTTTACATCATCCACCAATCTACTGCTTCGGGGTCATACCGAACTCCTCGTTAGCGGCAATAGCCGGGGGCTGGTTGACGCTCTTGTTCTGAGAGTTCTCCTTGACGACGTTGGCGGTGCCCTCGAGGGTGAGGTGGTAATCGCCGTTCTGGGAGAGGGTGTACTCCTCGCCGTTCATGTGCTTGAAGGTGAACCAGAAGACGACGGTGAGGACGCAGCCGACGATGGCTGGTCCGCCGAAGTCCCAGGTCAGGTAGGGGTCGCGGATGACGGAGGAGCAGGCGAGGCCGATGGCGTAGGCGACGGCGGTGTTGAAGAGGTTCAGCGCCGACACGAGACCCCTCATGTTCTTGGGGGCGCGCGAGTAGGCGATGCCGTAGGCGGGGACGTTGACGAACAGCTCCGAGATACCTCCGATGGCGAAGGGGATGGCCATGTACCAGATGCTGATGTTGGCGACCAGGGAGACTCCGTCGGCGTCAACGCAGTTGTCGGAACCGAACTCTCCGCACGGGCCGATCTTGTAGGCGTAGTAGTTAAGCACGGTGTAGCCGATACCAGCCATGGAGGACATGGCAAGACCGGTGGTGATGCGGGCAATGGGGCCGAAGTGGATGTTGCGCTTGCGCAGGAAGGGGTAGAGACCGTAGTTCAGGATAGGAGCGCAGACGATAATGGACAGAGAGTTGAAGTTGTTGATGACGTCGTTGGGGACACCATTGGTAACCAACATGGTGGACAAGAAACTAGCCGAGGAACCGATACCATTGTCGTTAAGGTACTGGATTGGGAAGAAGCAGAAGATACCGGTGGCCTGGAAAGCGCGGCGAACATCCTCGACGAACTGGTCGTTCCAGCGCACTGGAATTATCTTGCCAGAGGCGGCAATGACCGAAGGCTTGGCTGGCTCCCAGAAGCCGTGGCGGCCGATTCTCTTCCATCCACCCTGCGAGAAGCAGATACCCAGAACGCGGAAGACGTTGGGCAAATCAGATCCTGCCGGTGGGTGGAGAACGAGGCGCTTGCTGAGGTACCAGAGGAGGAGGGGAAGAGGAAGGTAGAGGATGAGCGGGAGAAGGAAGCCCAGCCAGAATCCAATGTACTTCTCAGCGTAGGTAGTAGCGACCTGCACGAATCCACCGACGTTGATGAGGAGGTAAAACCAGAGCATGACTCTCTCAGTCGTGGACTCAGGGTCAACAATGACTCTCTCGCCCGACTTCAGGGTCTTAACCTTGGGAACGGTGTCTGGCATTTGATCGAGGAGTAGGGGAGACACATTCGGCTTGAACATGGCTAGAAAAAAACTGTCAGCAAAAGCAATCTAGAAATCCCCAGGAATCGAATTTACTCACCACCACCGATAGCAAGAATGTAGACCGAGATAAAGTAAGGCGCCTTGGCGTTTCCGCTCTCCAAGAGCGGCTTCGCAGAAGCACCAACCATGAGCACGTGAGAGATACCGAAGACAACAACACCCCAGCAAATAAGCTTGAAGCGACCAGTACGGGCATCAGCGAGGTAACCGAAGATAAGAGGAAGAGCGTAGATCAACATGTTGAACGACTGGTTGACGGCATTGGCCTTGACGGTACCCATGCCGAGAGCGCCAGCGGTCTGCTGGGTGCCCTTGGGGGGAGCGCCCCAACCGTTACCACCCTTGGGCAGCGGGCGGTTGACGAAGTTGTTGATGAGACCCACGACACCGTAGTACGAGGCACGCTCGCAGAACTCGACGGCGCAGATCATGTAGGCGACGACGGGGAGGGAGCCGGGCACACGGCGCAGAGTAGCCTTCTCCTCATCGGTAGGCTTGTTCTCATAGTCGTCGTCGATGGCGATCTTCTCTTCGGAGACGTTGGTAATGGCATGACGGTCGATCGAGTCGGTTCTGATTCCCTTCTCGTCGGCGACGTCAATGGACTGGTCGATTTCCCTGCTTGCTGCAATCCGGTAGAGTTAGCATGCGATCTCCTTCCTCTTGCCTTTCTTGCAATGGTGAATGCATACCCATCTTGAATACCTGGAGTGTGAAGCGCACACGCGACTAGGAATAGGCCAAAGGGGTTGGAGATAGGAAGACAAGAAGAAGCGGGAGACGCGACGAGGGTTTTATTGTTGCTCCATGGAGGAAGGGAGCTCGGGGAGGGAGGGGGAGGGGGAGGGGGAGGGTCGGGATGAATTGGACTAGGTGGGGCCTTTTTGGGGTGGGTGTTGGACGAGGGAAGCAGGGGAGGAAGGAGCAAGGATAGCAGGGATTAGGAAGGGTGTGGAGGGATTTGGAAGGATGGACAAGGGTGGACCAGGGTGGACCAGGGTGGACAAGGGACAGGGGATCACATGGGGAAGGAAAGTAAAAGCTGATGGCGCGTGCGTGTCTGTGTGTGTGTTTGTATAGTACGGGGAGTACGAGGGAGCTAATAATCACGAGTAGTCGGGGAATGGGGAGTGTGGGAGTACATGATGGTACTTGGTAGGGTCTAGATAGATAGAGTAGATAGATAGAGTCTAGTTAGATAGAGTCTAGATAGATAGGGTCTAGATAGATAGGGTGGTCTAGATAATAGAGGCTAGATAGATAGGGTCTAGATAGATAGAGTCTAGATAGACCACCTTCCCTTCTTCCCCGTCCTACCCACTCTCCCTCCCACTCCCCCATTTTCCCCATCCATTCCCCCCATTTCCCCCATTCCCCATCACCTCAAACACACACTTACAAAAGAATACAACGGTACAAACCCGACCAGGGACCACGAGGGTCTTTCGCACCCAAGACACCAGGAACGACTGACGCAATATCTACAACAGTACATCCCGTCATCCCCCCCCCCAAAACGCCAACAGGCACACCAACCCCCCCATCCCCAATCCGGCAGGAGCAATGGGAACGTCCGAGCTTGCGACGTTGCGATCTGCCGGGCAACCCCTGCCCACACCCCTGCCCACACCCCTGCCCCCTCATCGCACCAACGCCACCCAACCCCGCCAATGTACCGCCCAGATAGGAAGGTGCTTATCTCCTCCCCCATCGGTACCTAGCGCCGCATTAGCGAGCTGCCAGCAAAGCTTAAGCGATGGGCGCCGGGGGGCGTCGCAGCGGGCGTCCCAAAAGGCTGCGAGTCGTGGGTCGCGCCATCGCTCTAATTCGGACTAGTGGGACTGAGTACAGTAGACTCGAATGGGTCCCCGGACTAGGCTAGTAGGTCCGCGAGAGTTTGACCGAGATGTGCCATGATATTGCGCCGTGGGGACAATCAGCGCAGGGAGTTTGCAAACTGGAAGGTGAATAGGCAAGTTTTTAGTGGAGGGGGGATGCAGATGAATTGTCCCCGGTATACGGAGTACGTACTAAAAAGTTACGGTATCGTACTCCGTACGTATGTATTGTAAGTGCCGTATAGGGATTAGTGCCATTCCGCTTCGAGCTTCAATTGTTCGGTGTTGCGGCGCTGTTTGGTCGACGTGATGTGATGCTGTACAGTCCGTAGTTAGTGCGTACGGAGTACGGGGTATGTCATGGCCATGGCCATGGCCATGACAGTATTGCGAGACACGATGATGTACTATCCTGTTCATCATCATGTCCACCACTCGAACAGTGCGTGCGTACCCCCAGATGCAACCCTCCTCCCAATCACCATCACTTTCCGGTTCTCCCATGTCTCTAGGATGATCAGGATGATTTGATGCACTTGTAGAGTAATCCCCCATCGCCGAAGTGATGATGATCGCTGCACATCTCCCCGGGGCAAACCCGCGTGGCAATCAAGCAAGTGGCAGGCATTCGTCGAGACATCACAACCTCGGCCACCCACCACCACCCCACGCCCACGAGGCAACGACACTGACACAATATCCCCAGCTTCACCCACGCGCGCATAGAGGAGGCTTGGAGCGGGCGCGCGGTCGTGACGCCGTCACGCCTCATCTCACTCTTTCCCATTTCCACTTTCTCAATGCGGACATCTCTAAACATCTGCTTATCGAGCGAGAGTCTGTCATGTCAACCTTCACCTTCCTCCTGCTGTGCTGGCCCAATTTTGATAAACACGCAACTAACTATACACGCGCACGAATCCGTCTCATTAAAGCCTAGCCACTTCCAACACTTGGGAAAAAGGGAGGTTGGACCCCCTCTCCCATTTCTCCCCACACCCCCATGCAGCCGCTGGTATCGCTATTGCCCCTCCCATCCCTGCGCCCACGCTACTACCCCCAGCCGCTGTTCCCGAGCTTCCAGAACGAGCAGGCGATGCAGCAGGACTGGCGGTTGGGAAGGGTGTGAGTGGGGCGGGGGTGACAAACCCATCAGTTAGGCCAATTCAATTGCACGAGATAGTGGGCCGAAGTCGTGATTTAGCTGCGGCTTTCGGTCTCGCCTAGTCCGTCCGCGCTGAAACAACGCCCCTTGTCTCCATTAATTCGCTCGTTCGTTCGCCACCGCCGCGCTGTGGTGTGGCGACGGCGAGATATACGGAGGTGTTGTTCATAAGTTTTGTGAGTGGGTCGGGCTAGGGCCCCCTGCGTAGGCTGGTTTGGCAATTCTGGCCAAAGTACCGATTCTCACGCGTCACGAACACTTGAGTGTGAGAGCAATCAATTCTGTAGAATAATGAGTAGAGTAGATACCTAAACCCCTATATAAAACTATACTATAAGCCTAGTACTCTGTGTGCATACCATTTGCAGCAATTACTGCTGCCATACGTGTAGGCATACTATTAAGGAGAGCATTAAGCTCAGCTTCTCCAACTTGCTCCCATGCTTCCTTAACAGCTACACGGAGCTGGTCGTAGGACATATGTTCTGGATGATTATCTTGTAGATAATTCTTCATAATATGCCACACCCGTTCAATTGGGTTGAGATCTGGTGAATACGGGGGCCATTCTATAGGGCAAATACCACGGGATCTCAACTCTTCATATGTTGCACCTGCTCTATGACCTGGAGCTCCATCTTGCATCAATGTAAGGCCTGGGTATAGGCGTAGCCAGCCGTGGATTAGAGGGACAGTATGAGCCATATAGGACTCAGCTCCTATTTTCCCATATTCCTTCTCCCAAAATAGTATAGGACCCTTTCCAAGACCACCTGAGAAGCAGCCCCAGAACATCCAACCTCTAGGGATTGTTAGTAAATCCTATAGTAAATAGGAGTCTCTTACCTTCTCCGTTGTACTCTATCTACAACACATGTATCATCCCACATTTCCCCTGCTTTTCGAGTAACCCATGTACGAGTATGGCGGCCTCCCGTTACCCACGTCTCGTCAGTCCAAAGTATCCTATTCCAATCATTCCGTACCCAATCCTTATGTTCAATAGCCCATGAAAGTCGCTTTTGTCGATTTGTCTCTGAGATAATAGGCTTCCGCATAGCAATCCCTTAATAATTATTAGTCTATATAGTAGTAAAGTAGAGAGGGATACTTACGTCGATTATAGCCTCTCACAGACAGAGCGCGGGTTAGGACAAGCCGTGAGCATGGAATATTAAGAATGCGTATTATATTTGTATATGGCATACGCCTATTCGTGCGAGATGAGGCTATAAACTCAATAACCTCTTGAACTTGCTCATCGGATAGGATAAGTGGCCTACCTGAACGCTTCTTCGGAGTTGGAGGGCCCTGGCAAGCATACCAAGCCTGCCGTTCCGTGCAGCCAATATAGGCTGCAATTTTTTGGAACTCCCAATCTAGGGAGCGTAGTAGTGCGCAACGAAGCCGCTCATCGCGAGTAAGATGAGGCATTGTAGTTATTGAAAGAGTATGAATTTCCTACATATAAAATACAATAGTAGGAATTTTGACGCGTTAAAAAGGTACAAACAAGCCTACGCGTACCCATGCTCCAACCCATGCCCAACCCCCGGTCATCTCATGACCCACTCACAAAACTTATGAACAACACCTCCGTATTCAATAACTGTAACTACTGGATATTTGTAGCGCCGAGGGGCGCGCGCCGGAACTCCTAGAGCGTAAGCTGGGAGATAACGTGCTTGCTGACGTCTCCCCGTCTCCCGCGATACGAGGAAATCAGGAAATTGGTAGTGTGTTCCCCAGCCAAGGGTTTTCAAGTGTAATGTAGATGGATCAACCGCGGGCCAAGTCCCTTGGTGCTTCTTCTGGGTAAACCATTGCCGTTCTACGGCTTTTCTTGGGACTTGGTGCTTGGGGTGCTTGGTAGGTTTTGGTGGTTTTTTGGTGGCTGCATGTGGTTGCTTTGGGGGCGTGGTACAGAGTTGTGGCTGTGGCGTTCATGTGCCGTGTCGCTGCGGCTTGGTGAATAGTGTGGCTGATATGTTCCTTTCACGACGACGTTGTAATCACTGTGGCAGAAACCACGAGATCTGTAAAGGACTACAGTTGAACCTGGATATAAGGATGCCCTCGGGACCGGGCGTGGCATCCTTATAGCGAGGATATCCTTATGTGGAGGTTCACGGAAATCTGAGGAATATATGTAAAAAAAAAAAATTGTATGCTACTTTGACACCCAGCCATCTAGTAAACGTTGGGTACTCTTCGCGACTTTCTCTTGCGAGATATCCTTGCCAATCTGTTCTAATGCCTTTATTACTGAAATCCGACCTCCATCTTCAGCGAGGGAAGCAAATAATTGAAGGGTATTCAGCGCCTGGCTTGCTTCCGCAAGTGATGGTCAGATCTCTTCCTCTTCCCCTTCCTCGTCCCTGTCTGCAATCCCATCCTCCTCTGTAATAGTGTATCTCTGTACTACAGCCTCGAAAATATCTTCATCTCTGTCAACTATCTCTTCGCCTATAGGGTTGAGAAAATCTGCAATTGGCATGACATCTCCTGGTAGCCTCACAATTTCCATTCCCAGTTCCTCGACCTCAGCAGTATTATCTTGACACATATCTATATTTTCTGGTTTTTTTTATGAGAGTCGATCGCCACCAACACTTCTGGATTTTTGGTGCTTCAAGTGCTTCCCACGTAAGTCGACTCCACTGTATCGCCTTTAGAATATTAACTGTTTTATTAGGGTTCTTATTGGCCTCGAGCTGGCGCAACATGTAATTAATCCATTGTTTTCGATACCCAAGTTTGAAGCTTGCAATTATTCCCTGATCGAGAGGTTGCCAATGAGATGTCGTATT